ATTGAAAGTTTTGCCATTTAAAACCCAATATTGTGGCCAGGAGTCATTCTCAAAGATTTCATTTTTAAAAAGTTACATCAATCACAATGGCGGCAAGCAGCAGTAGTGCAGCTATTTATTTCTAGATGTCGCTAAGGTACAACCTGGCGCGCGTCTGTAAAAAAATATTATAAAGGAACTGCTGCATCCGATTATGATGTCATTGAGTACAATGAATTGTTGTTTGTCTAAAGACGAGTACATAAACGCGACCTATGCCAACATTCCTTTCTCGTTTACTAAGATAAAATGACATTTGTGATTTGAATGTGTGTGGGCGACCCTCCGGAAAAGAAGACAGGTAGTTAAAACCGTTTGGAAATTTTACACGATTGTGTAACGCTGCCCTTATCCTATGTCTATCCTACGACGTGCATTTCCTAAAAATCACAGAGGTGCAAAAATGCATTTATTATCTTCGTTGGCGCAGAGACCAGATCTACTGTCCAAATTCTCCGGGTATGCTCTGGGGCAGAGATCATGGGGGCGGGGGTGAATTTTCAGTAAAAAATATGATTTGCCCCGAGTAACGATTTTTTCGGCACGGTTAGTTTTGATCTTCACTGCGCCCTCGTAGCGCCGCCCCTGGGCATCCTCTGTCAATTTCGAGGGCAGAAATGGACTCTACGCCCCCGATAACCCCGAGTAGGATTTCTCCAGCTTTTCATATAAGGAGCGATCAAAAAAGGATTGACAATCGAATCGCCGATTTTCTGGGTAACCAAAAATTCCAAAGCTTGCTCGACAACACTCTTTTTTGATCGCATAGTATGTAGTATTAGTGAAAATAATGATTACAAATTGTAGGTATGACAAAATAAACAAAAACAAACAGTTTTTTGTAAATAAAGCAAATTCCCCTATGTATCCTTTAAATTCACCACGTCAAAGAATTTATAAGAATATTAACAAATGAACGTCAAAAATTTTATTTGCGATTTCGACTGCAGAGCGACAGCAGAAGGGCTAGGTATTTGAACAAAAAAACATGCCTTGAATTTGTCGAATTATTATAACCTCTGGTAATGGTGCATAATCGGTTTTTGCGTGTACCTTTAAATGTAATTTAATCTATGTCAACCAGCTGTTTTTTATCTCCTTAAAATAAGCAAAGGAATGTGCACAAGGTCATGGAAGTCAACATGTAAAAGTAATTAAATTTAGAGTATACACAAACCAATTGTGTAAGTAGATAGTACCACCTACTCGACATGATGTGGCAGCACAATTTATTTACTACAAAGATAATACTTCACTATCTTTCGATTTTAAAACATGCTGCGACCTCTGATATTTAATAGCTGAATCATAGTTGCCTCATTTCATAACTGGTTCAATTTTTTAATTCGTATGCCGTCCTTAAAAGGTACGCACATGTAATACTTGCAGATGCTGTGAAAGACTAAACCGATAAAAAATGAGAGCACATTGTGGAGAATTTGTAAGTTGCGTATCATACGACTTTTTCGGAACGAGTATGATAACTTGTCCTCTCGTAGTTTTACGGTTTATGTTTATGAAAGCATTAAAGTTTTAGTAATGTGATTGTGCAACACTGTTACTGTAAAAATGCTATTCAACCAAGATTCTTCTATATGTTGTACAATACAAGCGTTCATAATACATTTTGATGGCGGTTGCTTCCTAACAAACGATGTAGGTATAAAACAAATATTTGCATTCAGCAGAAGTTTGCCTCAAAAAAACTAACCGCATCCGTTTTTAAGTAATGCGACACTCAAGGGGCCAAAGGGAGGCTGATTTGTTTGCTATTCAAGATATATGTCCGTCCAGCGACGGACCTATGGGGGGCAAGGGGGGGGCAGGCTGCCCCTTCAATACTTAACTAGTTGGCTATTTTGACAAGAGTTGGTAATTTTCATAAATCGTAAATGTCATAAGTCGACTACTGAAGGAATGAGAAATTGCGGCAAAATCTATAGAAAAGGACTCTTTAATAGGAAAGTCACTTCCTTCTTCTTCAACACAAGGTTGATATTTTGGTAATGCTTTTATAGTATATTATTATACGAGCATATAAAGTGTGCGATTATGACACGAGGTGAAGTTTGCAACACGAGCCGAAGGCGAGTGTTGTAATTTTTCCGAGTGTCATAATCGCCTTTATATGCAAGTAAAATACGCTATTTTATCTACGACTATTTAATTAAATAGAAAATGCGGCATCTGAATCAGTTTGAAACGTAGCAACTTCATAGCGGTAGCGCAATGTACGCCTATGGTTTGGTTTGCGTTCGTTCATTCGTTGACGGTATTTAACCTCAAATCTTTCAATGTAGGTATCGCAATGTACCTAAGTGGCGAACTAAATATGCAATTTATCTAAAGTTCCCAGAAGTCATTAATTCAACACGTAATTACCTACACGTAAGATTATTGCTAATATAGGTAAATGGTTGTCATTCATTTTTCATTGTTTTAGATTGTGACATAACCTATGGAAGTAAGGTGGATTTTTATGTGATGTACCTATGTTAGACCGGGAGGCAGCGTACATAGTAACTAAACCATAAGCGACAAAAAATTCGACAATACAGGCTGAAAGTACGTTGAAAACTAGTAATAAAATCACCAGTCTGCCAGTCGTAAGTGGCAGCATTAACTTGGGGCGGCGCTGAATAGGTGACTTCTTTAGGTGATCAACTAAATTACCAAACTATAAGGGTCGCGGAAAAGATTTCTATCAACAAATCCCATGTTTTCCATAGTTTTCAAATATGCTAGGCAGACGATTTCAAGTGCAGCGTTGGTAGCGAAAGACGCCCTCCAATGTAGGGAAAAACACCCCTGAACTAAACCATGAGGACCGTATAAAAATTATACATAAAAAATTACTCTTTTTGTCACTACTTTAAAATATATCCTGGTAGACGATATTAAGTGTAGCTTTAATAGTGGCAGACATCTTAGAAGTTAAAAAAATTAGGTACAGTAAATCCCAGCGAGTGCGAGTGTGTGAGAGATAAGCGCACGAGAGCACAACGAACAGAGATAGCTATAGATTTACGCACCGCTTGGAGTTACCAAACGAATTAAATTAGGGAAAATAATAAATTGTTTATTTCACTATAAGATTGTCGGTATTTCTTGAATTCTTCTCAGACTGAGAAACAGAAAACTTGAAGAGAAAAGAAGATAGATCTTCAGCTCGTTCTAAACTATCCTCTGACTCCAGTTGTAGATGTTGTTTTAATCGATGGATTATTTTTTTTGCATCTTTTAAAAGATCTCCGGTAAACCTTTGAGCGATTTTCTGAACACATCCTCGGCAAGATTTGTGCTGTGTCAGCGAGAGAAGTACATCTTACTTTTGACAGATAGTTACCCCTTCCATGAAGGACGCAGAACATGATCGTTGGGATCAAAATAAGGAAAGATTACAATCCTACTCAATTTCTGTTTCCATTCAGAAGCAGCCTGCAAATTTCATAAAACCACTTCGCAATGATAGCTCAAAGCCTCTCTTGTAGATTACTTATACCGTGCATAGGCAAAAAAGACGTGTTGTGCTTTACTTGAAAGGAAAGTTGTGTTTGCCACATATGAAGATAAGTGCTATAAATTTGTGACAAGGGAAGATGATGTGGTAAAAACTGAATTGTGCTGCAGCCACTAAGAGGCAGATTCTCGAATAATTTACCATCTTCGTAAACTACCAACAAGTAGCAAAGTCATTATTAGCGCTTCCGATATGGATATTGCTTTGGGAAATGTAAAATTGACGCTACCATCAAGGTATAGATGGAAGTAGGTCTCTTTTCCAATACACGCTGAAATTCATAAACCTTCGAGAGATGTTCGTGAATTTGGGTGTTGATGTGTGTAACGCGCAGGGTAACGCGTTACCGGATTCCCACGCATTTACCGGATGTATGACTTGTGTGTGGTCCTCATGGTTTAGTTCATCGCAATTTGAGCGAATGCCACCGAAAAATGTCTGAGTTTCTACAATCCGTTTGATTGAAGTGGATGGAACTATGTGAATCAGAAGTTTAGAATCAAATGGTTTGAAAGATCTCAGTAGTCAGTATCCTATCGCTATCTCTGTTGGTTATGCTCTCGCGCGCTTAACTCTCACACGCTCGCACTCGCAGGGATTTAGTATACCTAAATTTTTTAACTTCTAAGACGTCTGCCACTATTAAAGCTACACTTAATATCGTCTGCCAGGATATATTTTAAAGTAGTGACAAAAAGAGGAATTTTTTATGTATAATTTTTATACGGTCCTCATGGTTTAGTTCAGGGGTGTTTTTCCCTACATTGGAGGGCGTCTTTCGCTACCAACGCTGCACTTAAAATCGTCTGCCATAGCATATTTGAAAACTATGGAAAAAATGGGATTTCTTGATACAAAACTTTTCCGTGACCCTTATAGTTTGGTAATTTAGTTGATCACCTAAAGAAGTCACCTATTCAGCGCCTCCCAAGTTAATGCTGCCACTTACGACTGGCAGACGAGTGATTTTATTATTAGTTTTCAACGTACTTTCAGCCTGTATTGTCGAATTTTTTGTCGCTTATGGTTTAGTTACTATGTACGCTGCCTCCCGGTCTATGTATACTAAATCCGATCCCGATGTATCAATTATGCCTGCAGAAATTGTTACACAGCTGCCAAATGGAATACAATATTTTGTTTCGCATACATAATCTAATTTTTCAAAGACTTCGTTACGCTTCTCCGACCTGCATCCAAGAAGTTTCTTCCTCTTTTAGAAACGAAGTTTAAGCAATAAAAGCATAGTTTTATTGCAAATTTAAGGGCAAGAGGTGTTTTTTATTAGTTAACGTACATATTGTAGCCATCTATTTAAGTAATTTGGTCAATGCCTAGTATGTAAGACCTGTTACGAATTATCAATTCTTAAAATAAATCATGCAAAACGGTGGTTAAGTGCTACGACAATTTGTATCCTTTATTGTCAACGAGTTTACAAATGTTATTGTTTTGTATCGTGGCACAATTTCGACAACAATACCACATATGTTGTACGAAACATATTTCTCTTCGTAAAAGGCTGAAACTTATAGGTTATACCTAGCATAATCTTCAAATGGGGCTTCCGATAATCCATTATGCTACAAATAATGCCTTGTGAATATGAAGGTATAGATACTTTAAATACAAACGAAAACCTTATTCATGCTCATGCAGAATATTTGTATCAGCGAAGGTATCTGTCGTTAAGTAACGTTGCCTGAACTTGCCAATGAATTCAGGTATTTTACAAGTTTATTTCATCCCATTTTATAAATATCGCACATATCTCGTCATAGGGGTGGATCAAGTTCCTGTATTAATTGTTTTTCAAATAAACCTACAAAGTTAAGCGTACGTAACCCGAAATCTCTCATTTCTAACACAAGAAATGCTTAATTCAAAACAAAACTGACAGGTAGTACATACGAGATGGGCGGTTCTATTTTTAGTACATATGCAATTATGAACTTATACATATGCAATTGTGAGAAATATATAGTGACGTAAAGTAGTTGTATATAAGGATTTTAGAGGAACCGATAATAATGCATATCATAATTCGCTAAAATATAGTGACGTTATTTGAGCGTTATTTAATAGTCGTAGATAAATTAGTATTAGAGACCGTATACTGATATCTTACATTTTCTACATGATTTATTAGACTTGGAAATATTAATACTTAATAGATAGGTACTACCCGTTTGAGTTGGAAATTTTTACAGTTGAGTTGGCAAAATATCATGTCTGCCCCCCCGATTTTTTTGTCTAGGTCCGTCTCTGTGTCCGTCGCACTAGAATGAGGTTCATAAGCGACAGGAGCTGCGTAGTGTTTCTATTAAACGATAAAAAGTGTGCACTTTGCTCACCGTTATTGTAATTTATTCCTCCCGCATTTTGATGTCACAAATTCTTACTTGAGAAATTGATTGTCACATACACTTAATACAGGGCATTTAAATATTTTATTAGTAAGTAGAGAGTAGAAATCTAGTGGCACTTACGGATTTGTAGCATCTAAATGTTATAGGCTCCGTTAACTTAGCACCACCATTTCAAATTGTTGACTAAAGACAGATTGCGCTAGAATCTCTATGGCTAGCGCCAGCTAGCGCCACTTTGAGTTCAGCTAGCGCCATTATAGATTTTGCAGAAAAGCCTTTGATTTTCGGGGGGTGCTATGTTAACGCTAGCACCACCATTGCGTCCGATCATTTCCAAAAGCAAGCGCTGTGTTCGTCAGACCTAGCGCCAGCTAGCGCCACAAATTTTTGAGCTAGCGCCACCCCCCAATAATGAGGGGAGCAATTTTTCCTAGCACCACCATTTTGTCTTTTCATGTAAAATTTTGACGTTTTGTGTTCTGCTGACCTAGCGCCAGCTAGCGCCACTTTGAGTTCAGCTAGCGCCATTATAGATTTTGCAGAAAAGCCCTTGATTTTCGGGGGGTGCTATGTTAACGCTAGCACCACCATTGCGTCCGATCACTTCCAAAAGCAAGCGCTGTGTTCGTCAGACCTAGCGCCAGCTAGCGCCACAAATTTTAGAGCTAGCGCCACCCCCCAATAGTGCGGGGGGCATTTTTTCCTAGCACCACCATTTTGTTTTTTCGGGTAAAATTTTGACGTTTTGTGTTTTGCTGACCTAGCGCCAGCTAGCCCCACAAATTTTAGAGCTGTCATCACCCTCCAATAGTGTGGGGGGGGGGCACCACCATTTTGGCTTTTCGGGTAAAAATTTGATGTTTTCTGTTCTGTAGACCTAGCGCTCAAGTTAACCTAGCGCAATTATAAATTTTGCAAAAAGCCTTTAACTTTTGGGGGTGGTTTACCTCTAACACCACCATTGTGTTCGATGACTACCAAAAGCAAGCGCTGCGCTGTGTTCTTTAAACGTAGCGCAGAGCTGGCGCCCAATCCCCAACATTGTGGGGGTCCTTTTTTTTATAATACCACCGGTTTGTTTTTTCGTGTACAATTTTGCTATTTTGTGTTTTGCTGACATCTCCCAGATAGAGTCAAAATCTTAAGAGTAGGCGCCACACCCAAGTAGTCTGGGACAGTTTTTCCTAGCTTTATGACTTGGCACCACTGAAATATTTTGGATTAATTTTCTAGTAAAACGAGTGGTGTGGTAGCTGAATCTGCGGCAAGTATTAAAATAAGGAAATACAGTTCAATTATTATAGAACAGAAACATATTTTTATACCTTTCGCAGTAGAGACATTGGGACCTTGAAGCTCGAAAATTTTGTGGAATACCTGGGAAAACGCATTACCAATATTACTGGGGAACCCCGAGCTAATTACTTACGACAAATTTAAGTATAACTCTCGCCAGGAAAGATTGCCAGTCATAGCACACCTTCTGTCGATCTACAATCTATGTTTTTCTTAAGATGCGAGCGACTTCCAGAATATGATCGCGCTAATGTTGAACGAAAAGTCTTTTTGTTCAACATTGACACGATACTATCCCGGAAGTCGCTCACATCTTTAGAAAAACATAGATCGTAGATCGGGATCAAGTGTTCTGTGACCGGCAATCTTTCCTGGCGAGAGGTTTATTGCCATACGACGTGCAGGTAACGCGGCCAGTCAGTGTAATGGGGACCACGATCCCCATGGAAGAAAATTATCATTTATTAACGAGCTCCTAGCGAGTTTATAATTTTGCGGTGTCTGTCCGTCTGTCCGTAGCACGATATCTCGATAACGAATGGAGCGATTACGATAAAATTTTGTAGGTGGATTCTTTACGAGATTCTTTATCAAATTTGTAGATCGGAGTTCGTGAACTGGCAATGTAACCCAAAAATAAGGAAGGCCCTTTTGACATCTCCGTGAGTTATGAACCGAATTGCATGAAATTCAATATGCGTATAGCTTTAGCCATATAAAACGCAATTCCAAAAATTGAGCCTAATCGATCAACATTCACAATCCTCTTTTCGCATTTCGACCATTTATAAACCGAATTGCAAACTTTTTTATTTATAAAGGTATTTAAATGAAATTTGATACGTAGTCACTTGGAATAAAATCAAATATAACACCAGTTTCAAAATTTGGTTTTGCGCATGCGCAGTGTCAACTTTCTTATTTATGGAGGCATTCAAATGAAATTTGAAACATAACCACTTAGAATAAAAGTAGATGTTGGAAAATTAGTAGTTGTGATAAGTTTTTCTTAAATATTTAAAAAACTATACTATTTAGCGCGAAATCAAATAAATAATCTACAGTAAATTGCGAACAAAAATGACCTCATATATAATCTTGCTAAATTGAACCATTCCAGAGTTACGGAGGGTGTAACAGTAGAAATTTTTCATTTTTTTTTTAGATTCTTTTGGAAAAAATATGAGATTATCTCTAAGGAAACTATTTTTTTTTGTTAAAACCGGTTAAAACAAATTGCGCTTTAGTGACCGGTGATATGTTACCGATAAGTCCTTGAAGGAACGATAACCTTACCACCTTCTCAAGGGAGGCCATTTTTTCAAGAGACTTCCACTATGAGGGACAGTAATCCCTGGGGAGTTGCAGGATGTGTTGTTATTGCTCTCAGGTGTTTGGCAATCTTGCATTCCCACTTCATCGGGTTCTTCTTCTCATGCAGCCACCGCTGCACCTGATGGTAAGTTCTAAATGAATGTTCTACCTGGTAGCTGCTGAAGTGGGGAGAAGCGCAGCCAACTTGAACAGTGAATGTATAGGATGCTTTGAAATAGCTTGCAAGTAACACTGGTAACGAAAACAAGCCAGATCTTCAGTGTTCTTTACTTCAAACATGATTTCATTTTTCCAGAAAATCGAAAAAATACGAAAAATGCCTACTTTTACACCCTCCGTAACTCTGGAATCGTTGACTTGAGCAAGATTATACACAAGACCATTTTTATTCACAATTTAATGTAGATTATTTTGGATATGGTACTTTTCTCGCCAAACCCCATAGTTTTCTAAATATTTAAGAAAAACACCAAAATCTACTAATTTACCAACTGGTGTAACTTTTTACCAAACAATATGTGGACTGTATAGAACAATTTGCAGTTAATGGAAAACTTTTACTTTTGATGTTTAGGTTAAGCCGTTTTGTCGACCAATTGCACCGTACTATATTATGAATTTTTAATTTTAAAATTTCCATATTAGGTACTGTTTCTTGTGAAATTTTTCTGTTTTGTGCTCTACTCACTAAACAATTCTTTTTGTAAGTCACAGTATTAATTTCACTACCACAGTATTGCAAGCTAAATCGTTTAGAACACAGCGCAGTGCAAAATTTGAAAATTTCAACGAACGTACCTACTCATAACCTATATAAAGTCGTTAAATCAATCAGCATATTTGTTAATTCTGCTAAAAAACAAAGAAGCAGTTCTTATATACTTATGTGTAATTTCCGTATAGCTAACTAATTTTTAGGGTGCAAATAAGGCATATGTATTTTATATGATTAATACACTCCATTAATATACGACCAATCAGCTAGGTGATTGTTTCAAACTCTACCCAATCAGATGATTTTTTATCTGATTAAATGCTAGGTAGCTTTTTACAGCGATAAAAATGCGTGTAGGAATACGTAAAATATGTAGTGGCTGTAAAATTTACTGTCTTTTATTAATCTCCCTAAAATACACTCGACCTTGGTCAGGATAATTTTATTTTTAATTCACTCAAATTTTGTTGCCTCCTGGAGAAAACTCTCGATCAAAAGCATAATATTAATAAAATCGCTCCAGCTAAAACATTCGCGATTTTATCACACTTTTGGTTTCGAGTTTTTTCCGTTGCAACAAAACTTTCGTGTAAAAATAAAATTATGCGATTAAAAATCAAGCTCTTGTGTATTTACTCTCGATAAATTATATACCTATGTACGTCACGTCGACTACTACCTAAAGGTGTTTTTTTAACAATGCAGATTTACCAATATTCACACAATTGACGCGCCTGTAAACCCTTGATGTGACAAATAATTTACAACTTTTGCGCATTCATAAAGGATTTAAGTAAGTTTGTACCTGCATACCTCACCGTCAGTTTACTTCGAAATGAAGGGTTACAATCTTGCTACTTTATATACAAATTTTAGTATTTTTATTGGAACTTTTTACTTTAAACAGAACGATCAATCCAAAAAGTAAAGGATTTCAAATTGAAATAATTTGATTATTATTTCCAACCCTAAGAGGGGCAGATTTGCACATTGGGGTTTAACAAGATAGAGTTTGACCGTCCCAGATGCGGTGTCTGTCCGTTAGCACAATAGTTCGATAACAAATGGACCGATTACGATGAAATGTTGTAGTTGGATTCTTTATCAAATTTGTAGATCGAAGTTCATAAATTAATTGGTAATGTATCCCAAAAAATAAGTAAGGCCCTTTTGACATCTGCGTGAGTTTTGAACCGAATTGCATAAAATTCAATATTCGTATAGCTTAAGCTATATAACACGCAATTCCAAAAATTGAGCCTAATCTA